TTTTTTTTTTTTAATAGGAAAATGTATGAGCAGGGTCTAAAACAGTGGTTCTCAAGTTGGCTCTGCATTAAAATCACCTGGGGGATTTTAAAAGTTCCTTGTCATTCCATATGTCACATCAATATAATCAGAGTCTCTGGGGTGGAGCCCCAACATCTGTATTTGTATTAAAGTTAGCCTGGTAATTCCAATGAACAGCCAAGATTGAAAATCAATGGCCCATAAAATTAATTGCAGAACAGAATATATGTAATCCCACATTATAATACTCTTGTGTAATTAATATAAACTGTTCATAATATACAGAGTTTTCTATTAATTCATATTGCTAAATAGCATTTAAAAGTGTATTATTTTGGGTGTTGGAAATATAGAGGATGCAAATATAGCACAGTCGTGTGCCATTTAATAGAAATACATTCTGAGAATTATTAACCAATTTTGTCACTGTGCAATCATAGAGTTCGCTTTCACAAAGCGAGATGGTAAAGCCTACTGCACACATAGGTTACATGGTAGAGCCTACACCTCTTACACTACAGACTATATAACATATCACTGTACAAAACTACAGAAGATAAAGTCCAGCACAAGAGAAAGTAATGCAATTAACAGATATGGTAAACAGGAGATGTATGAGGTTGCCGCCAGTGTAATATGGCACACTGTTTTACAACAAACATTTTTATATAAGTAGAAAGAGTACACTCTAAAATAATGATTAAAAATATAATATAATAAATACATAAACCAGTCATATAGTTGTCTACTATCAAATACTATATGCTGTTCATAATTGTATGTGCTATACTTTCCTGCAATAGGCAGAGCGGTATATTAGTTTATATCTGCATCACTACAAACACCTGAGAAACATGTTGCATTGTGACATTAGTTGATAGGAATTTTTCAGCTCCATTATAGTATTATGGGATTAACCATATGTGGTCCATCCTTGTTTAAAACATCATTGCATGGCATATGAATATATTTGAAAACTATGTTATTGCTGTTCATTATGCCTTCCCATTAATTGTAGATATTAGTACAAGTGTATGCTCCCAGAATGGTGGGGTAAAGGACCGGCAAAGTGTAAAACTCTATGTAGAATTTGCTGCAATACTTTTGGTTCTTGTATATGTGGGATGGGACATTCCCAAAAAGAGACACAATAATCTGTTGACAGTGATGCTTTTGGATCAAGAATGGGGAAGTAGACTGGGAAATGGGGTAAAAGAGAATTCAGTTTCTCTTTATACTGAAAGGTGTGAAAAGGAATTGACAAAGTCCTAGAAGTAAAAGTGAATTTGGGGAAGCCATTGGATTCAAGGTCAGTAGATATGTTTAATTATATTTTTACTAGAGGCCCAGTGCACAAAAATTTGTGCACTCGGGGGAAGAGGGGGTCCCTCTGCCCGGCCTGTGCCCTCTCGCAGTCTGAGACCCCTCGGGAGATAACAACCTGCTGGCTTAGGCCTGCTCCCAGGTGGCAGAGGGCAGGCCCAATCCCTAGGTGCAGCCCCTGGTCGGG